ATTGATGATTGGCATGACAATAAGATATTTATTACAGACGTTATGAGATTTTTAGATAATGTTTTACAAGATTTTATTGATAATGCTCCAGATAGTATGAGTAAAGCTAGATATTCAGCATATAGAGAAAGAAGTGTAGGACTAGGAGTAATGGGGTTCCATTCTTTTTTACAATCAAAGATGGTACCTATGGAATCAGCAATGGCAAAATCATGGAATCTTAGAATTTTTAAACATATTAATGATGAAGTTAATAAAGCATCAAAATTAATTTCAGAAGAAAAAGGTGCATGCCCTGATGCTGAAGAACTTGGTCTTAAAGAGAGATTTACTAATAAAACGGCGGTTGCACCAACAGCGTCAATTTCAGTTATAGCAGGTTCTACATCTCCAGGGATTGAGCCATTTAATTCAAATGCATATACACAGAAAAGTTTGACGGGTTCATTCAATATAAGAAATAAGTATTTGAAGAAATTATTACAAATGAAAGATAAAGATACAGAGGAAATTTGGTCATCTATAATGAACCATGAGGGTTCTGTAAGTCATTTAGAATTTTTAAGTAAAGATGAAAAAGATGTATTTAAAACTGCTTTTGAAATAAATCAACAATGGCTAATTGAACATGCTGCAGATAGAACTCCTTATATAAGTCAGGCTCAATCTTTAAATATTTTTATTCCAGCTGATATTGATAAATCTGAATTAAATAAATTGCATTATTTAGCTTGGAAGAAAGGCGTGAAGAGCTTATATTATTGTAGATCAAAATCATTACAAAGAGCAGATAAAGTTTCAATTACAGATAATGTAGATAAGCACCAGCTTAAAATGAAGTTATCTCCTGTCGTTACAAAAGATGAAGATAAATATGATGAATGCTTAGCTTGTCAATAGTGTAATTTCATTTAACTTTTTCAAATTTATTTGAAAGGTTAATTAACATAAGTCATAAAAGTATTACTAACCTTATCTGCAGATAAGAATTGCTCTATAAGGAGTTAGAATGTGATTATACAGCAATATATAGCACAGTTAGGAACAACGATATAGTCATTGCGAGGGCACAAAGTGCTCGTGACAATTCAGTTCTAGAGACTAGTCATTGCGAATAAATCTTTGATTTATGTGGCAATCCAGAGAAGCTATTAACAAATGTAAATGCGACAATAATTATGGATCACCATAGTCGAGCTAAAGCTCTCATTCGTGATGACTGTAGGGTGTTATACATTCCTCCTTAGTGATAATTCTTGAGCGATACGCCTCTTCATGATTACAACTGGACTTTTGACAAAACTCTAACCTATGCCAAAAATGGCATTTTTAAAAAAGAAGTGATTTAGAAAAATTATGCTACTTTTGTGTGTATTTTTTCATATATTTGGTCAGCTTTTTCTAAAATTTTCTTTCTAAAATTCTCCTTAGATTCTTGCTGTGTATTTATTGAGGTTTTTGAAATAATAGGCATCTTTCCAAAACTCGACTTTATTTCTACTTGCACTTTTGTGGGGTCTCTAGACTTGCGCATGATAGGTTGATTTTTCTTTGATGTAAAACTTTTTCTTATACTTCTCTCATCTGGTATGCCTCTTTTTTTAATTTCACCTGTATATACTTGATCAAAAACATCACTAATAGCTGCAGCTCTAAATATATTAGATGGTGATTTGGAGTTTATTCTTTTTTTATTTTCCCAAGCTCTAACATTAATTTCATTTAGCAAATCAGAACTTTTACATAATACGTGATAAGCTATTGCTGTCATCAACATAAAATCTTCATCTTTTTTTGAATCAGATGATTGCATTTTATCCATCAACAGTTTTGATTTGGAAAATTTAAAATAATGCTCAATATCAAATCTATCAGAATATTCTTTAAAGGCGTCCAAAGTTGTTATTTTATCTCGAACTT